TCATGTTTTTGATCTGAGTTTGTTTTACAGAATGAAATGTCTGAATAAAAGTGCTCATCCAAGACTAGTGATTCCATACTTTTTTCCTAAGAATTGAGTGACTCCATATTCTCTCCCCTGTGCTTGGTCAATAAAAGTAATATTAACTGACTTCCACAATGTTTTCTCTTCATTTCTTTGAGTGTTCCTGAAAGTGTTCCTGAAAACCAACAATAATAAGGTCATTCCACTTTGGAATGACCTTATTATTATTGTATCATGCTTTTGATCTGAGTTTGTTTTATAGAATGAAATGTCTGAATGAGTGCTCATCCAAGACTGCTGATTCCATACTTTTTGCCAGGAGTTGTAGAAGTTGAGGAAAGTTTAGATGTGTGTTTGAGAGAAAACCATGGCTCCTGTAACAGTGAGCTGGGTGTGGGAGAAGACCAAACACCTGTAGTTTAAAGTAAAAAATGAAAAGAAAGTGAAAAATTTGTGGAAATAGAAAAAAAAAATTGTGTTTTTGCAAAATGTTATAAAGTTTATACAAAATTAAACTTTATAACTCATAAAATTAAAACTGTTAAAAGTCATGGCACACTATCACTGATCAGTGTGTTTTGATGCATTTTTTGTATGTTGAAGGAGGATCAAATCATGAAAAATGCACATCACTGTGTATAAACCTTAAGGATTGTTTTATCTCAGTAAATCTTCTGTGTTGTTGTTTTTGTTTTAATTTAAGGTGAACAATCCTCCTCATTTTCATTTGTACCTTTTGTGTATTTAAGGACAGGCAGTTCTTCTCAGTCCTCAGCCAGTGTCCCTGGGTCAGTGGCACAGAGTTGTGGCTGAGCGGAACAAACGGGCCGGCCACCTCAGGGTGGACCTGGGCCCAGTGGAGAGGAGAACATCCCCAGGAAAATCCCAGGGCCTAAACATCCACACCCTTATGTACCTGGGAGGAGTTCCCAACGTGGATATTCTGCCGAAACCTGCCAACGTCAGCAAAATGTTTGAGGGCTGCATAGGAGAGGTGACAGTTCTCTGCACCGAAGGAACAAAAGAAAAGTAAATGGATATTTTCCTACAAATCTCAAATTTCTCTTCACCTCTTCTGCAGGTTTCCATCAACAACAAGAAGCTGGATTTGTCCTACAGCTTTGTGGAGAGTAAATCAATTGACACATGTGTAGACATCAGTCCGTGTGACCGCCGGCCCTGCCTGAATGGGGGCGAATGCATGTCAAGTGCTGAGTATGAGTACCAGTGCCTCTGTAAGGATGGATTTGAAGGTTAGTTCTTCTATTTCTCAGATCTTCTCAGGATGTTCCCAGGATGTTCCTACCCCRCTCTGTGATGGCCATTGGGGTGGGGGTTCAGTTAGGGCCGGACCGTCTGGTGGGGTCCTTGGCTGCGGATGGATTCGGGGTCCTGGAAGGGTGCCGGTGGCTGTGGCTGTCGGTCTGTCTTCCCCGGGGTTGTTCAGGCTCTCGGATTGTGGCCCCTGGTTGCCATGGTTAGCCCACTGGCTGGGGTGGCTGCCGGGGTCTGGCTGGTGGTTGGCTGGGGGTGTGCGCTTGGCC